TGGGTGACTGATGGACAATGTTATTGTTGTTTCGGTCTGCTGCTTTTTCTTCTCTTCTGGGTTTTACTGTGAAAATGAGGTCGTTGTTGAGACATCAAATTATAATTATATAAGATCTATTATGCATAATCATATAATATATATATACATGTACATATATATATACATGTAAATATATGTATATATAATGTATAAAATCATTGCTGCTCGACAACTTTTTGTGATCTGTTTTATGTGTTTTTGCCATGTTTTTTTCGGTATTGTTTTTATGGGGGGTGTATAAGAATGGTAATTATCATGAAGTTAAAATGCATCATAGTAATTGTTCTGACAGAACGCTATACCGGTATATTTAATGAAGGACAATTGCTATTGAGAACAGCTGGCTGCTTGTACTTAACTTCACCAGCGTAATGCTTGTACTTGACCCTACCTGGGAAAATGGGAACATGACCAAGTTGATTAAACTCGATGTAAATTACAACACGACAAACTGATGATGATCTCCAGATGGTGTGTGTGTGTGTGTGTGTGTGTGTGTGTGTGTGTGTGTGTGTGTGTGTGTGTTGGGAGGGGTGGTGGTGTAGAAGTTATAGTCGTGATATTCATACTGTTAAATTGCACAAAAGTATCATTATTCATATTGTGACAATAATTGTCCTTTCATGGGTGTAGGCAGGAATAACAACTAAACCCGTAGTCCTATACTACATCCCAATGGAGACGAATAAATAGCGTTATCACTACGGTATCCTGTGGAATCAGTGGGAACCAGCTGATGTAGAACAAGTCGTCCAAACTACGTAGGCATTGGTAGAATCTACTAGTGGGGTTCTGTATTTAGAACTCTTATGTCAGCTCCGTCGCAACCTTGGCTAAGTATTAGTTTTAGTTTTAGTAGAGGTTTAACTGGGCTCCCAACTGCAAAGGTCATATGAGCGCCAGAAGATTATAGCTGTCACAAGAGAGTAACAAACACATTGTGTAACGAACACAAAAAAGAAGAAGGGGAGATAAGGACGATAGATGTTTGATAGGAAAGAAGAAGCAAACCACACCAGAGCACCCGCCAACCACCCACTTGGCTAAGTATGCACACGCTGTTCCAGGACTATGCCATAAAACCTTGGATATTGACCCCCAGCGTGTACAACGGGCTCGTGGTTGTTGTTTTTTAAATAACAGAACAGATGTTGTTTCGCTCTTCTATTTTTTCTTACAGGAAACTTATCCACAGGTAGAGCATAATTAGTCCTACATCTGTCATCACCATCATCATTGGTAGCAGCAGCAGTAGCAGCAGCAACAGCTTAACATTATTAGAGATAACTATCATGGGACATTGATAAGCCTGTAGATAAAATTTAATGTATAGAGCCAGGGAGAGGTTGCAAGGAGGTTGGGTTTTTGGGTTGGGGTCTGGGGGGGTTTTTTTTTGGG